TTTTGGGGGGGGGGGGGGGGGGGTGCAAATGTTAATAACACAAAGACTTTTTTTAGCAATTCCATATACTGAAATGCTAAATGTCGTTTCAATTTTATCGATAAATTCAAGATTATGCATAACTTTCTCATCTGACCACCAATTTGGATGATTCGAGTAGGGTTGGAAAGCCAATTTAAAGGGCTACGATCTTTTTTCCAAAATTCAAATTTAAAATTGTCAAAAATCACGTTTGAAGTAGACTTATTGTGGGTTAGGGCAATGTTCATTCATTCATGCACAACTCTCTCACTCGACATCCAATCTAAACTGATTCAAGTTGGATTATAAAGTCAACTCAAAGAACTATAAATACGATGCTTCGAGTTTTGCCAAATTCAGACTGAAAAGCGGTCAAAATCACATTTGACCAGTAAAATTGAAACGACATTTAACACTCTCTATATTACTAATGCATTCTTAATATATAAAAAAAAAATCGTGTACCGTGGCTGAAGTTGTTGGTTGCTTCTTCGAGGTCCGACAGAGTGAAGTTTTTCCAAGAAGTTTCGAAGCAATAATACAAGTCGGCTTCAATGTGCGGAGGAAGTGAAGGCAGACTCTGCGTACTCCTGCTGGTTCTTTTTCTCGAGAGTTTCTTTATCGAGAGAAGGTGAGGTATGGTGGGATGGAACGGCTGAAAATGCATGTTCGGCCCCTTTTTGAGTTTTCGAAGGAACCCTTTCCACTGAGAATCGTTCTTTCCGTTATCTTGCTGTGGGGCATCCGAAGTACTAGCTGTGGGGCTCGTTATTTTGAGCTTCTCGTCGTCTTGATTCTCTTCTCTTGGCGAGCCTCCTTCTATATTGGCCACCTCCACATCGAAAGACGTCAACTCTAGGACACGATTCGACAATGTTAGAGATAATATCTCTGTCTTTTCTATAGAGAGAGAGAGAGAGAGAGAGAGAGAGAGAGAGAGAGAGAGAGAGAGAGAGAGAGAGAGAGAGAGAGAGAGAGAGAGAGAGAGAGAGAGAGAGAGAGAGAGAGATGTAAAGATGTATCTACCACCTTCAGCCGAAAGAGAAATCGAGGAAGCGGAGAAAAGCAATTTCTTCCCAATAACGAAAAATTGTCCTTCAGGACTTTCCACAGTAAGGTCGTGTGCATTCTCAGTTTCCCTGTAATTCAACAAATTTTAGCATAATTTCTTCACCGTAAACAAATAATTCAGGCATTAATGGAACAATGCGCCAGAAATCAAACATTAAATAAATGTTCGCAACGCAAATTGATGCAAAAATCTCATAATAAAATTTCAAAAAAAAAATAATGTTATTTCCCCCAAAAAAAAAATCACCAACAGATAATCAACATTAATCATTTGCAAAACACAGCACATAAACACGACAACAATTAAAAAAATGAAGAGATATATATACCGTGGGGGAGACAAAGATTGAGGAGCATTTTCCATGGTTCCTTAAAGGCAACAAGTAAGAAAAAAGGTGCCTCAGGAACCAAAAAAGAAAAAATTGATCGTCTGCAAATTAATATGAATTCGAAATGAGATGAGAGAGAAAAAAAGGTAGAGAGAGAGAGAGAGAGAATAAGAGAGAGAAAGAGGGAGAAATGGAGGAATTGGGAATAGTGGTTTGCATGAATTGTTGTGGTTCCACAATATATGCAAAATCCACCCCATGCTAAAAACTCGGCTTCTCTACTAATCCATCCAAATTAAAACTTGTTTTACTACAAACAAAACAAACAAACAAGTTATAATCAACACGATGGTAACACGGGTTATTACACCACCTCACATATTATTTTATTGGGAACATTACATTTTTCACCCCTCAACTTTACACTGATTACATATTTGGTCCCCCATGTTTATAAAACAACTCATTTGGTCCCTCATGTTTGAATAATTTAACAGTTTTGGTTTTTTTTTTTTGTCAATTTACCGTTACTACGTCAGTTAATGCAGTGACGGGCACACGCTTGATTCCGTTAGTACTAACGGAAAATTGACGAAATAGACTAAAAGTGTTGATTTTTTTAAACATGATGGACTAAATGTGTTTTTTATGAACATGGGACAAAATA